CAAATCAGCTTTTCACCTTTTTTTTTTAAGATACAAACGTATTCTCACTAAACAATAGTTAGATGCTTGTGTTTCTTTCAAAGGAAAGTTGTTCTCCTCTTCCTAAGAAAAATTAATTCCCAATAGCAAAACTTATTTAAAATTTGATTAATCACATGGCGATGTCATACCTTATTAGTGTTTTTGACAAATGAAAAAATGAACATATCCATTCAAATAATATCTACATTTCTCCTCGATTCTGTTACCATTCTATTTGTATATCAGGATCCATACTTCGATTTCCAAGTGTAGCCTCGTAGGAATTCCACAGGAGAGCATTGCAAAAAAAATGCATGAAATCACTGAGCTTTTTTTATTGTCTGTGATTCCATTTTAAAAGAATACCATATTGTTTACCTGCATCATGCAGGAAAAAGTAGCAGGCAAATAACAAATGAAATTCACATTCACAAAGTATCTACTTTAAATCATCTTCTAGTTGCTTGGAGAGTCCTGCATGCATCTGAAAGAAAGCTGGGGAGCATTTCTACTAGAAAATGCATGGCTAAGTTGAATTTGTGTGTGAAAGAGAATGAGAAAACAAGCAATTTTTTAATGACAGTACTGAAACATTTTACTAACTCAGTGCATGAAGAAACAGTTATCTTGATAACATATATTCAGAACATATACAGACAACTTTCAAATATGTAAGATATTACGTTGAGGTCACAACAGCTAAATTCTAACCATGTTTATTCTAGCACAGTAAGCTTGCCAAAAAGATGTATTCAGCAGCATCCATATATTTTTTCCTGATGAAGGAGAGGGGCTGGGAGAGTCTTAAGCCAACATATGGCACTAGAAACATAGACACAGGAACTCCAATGTGATTTATCATGTGACCTTATATTTTCTTTTATTTCTTTTAAACACAAGAGTAGCATTCATAATTAATATTGCAGTCTGATTTCATATGGCTTTCTCTAAATATAAATGTGAGCTCACAAGGTCAACGGCAAACTAAACCATTTACCCTCCAAATGTGGAGGCCCTTTGACATTTTTTTATTAACCAATAAGGTCTTGGAACTGTGAAGGAAAATGGCTGCAGTGTCTAGCCACCAACTCTTCTGTGTAAATAAAATCTAGTATAAAACCCAAAAAAACTCATTTACCTGAGATTGCACAGATCAGTGGTGCAAATAAAACAACGTCATGGAAAGATAAAGAGATATTCAGAATCCAAGCAATGAACCATGCTTCTCTTTGGTCTTATTTAAGTGCTTCAACACCTGCTTCAATGATGAGGGGGAAAGTGTCTGAGGCAATGCTTCTCACATCCATACATGAGCCAAAGGTGTCTATGTCCCATGTTGCCAGTTCAGAGTGGGAAGGAAAATGGATGGCCAGAAAGGAGGGGAGAGTGCCTGCTCTCAAGTCTGTTCAGCATGGCTTAGGAACTTCAGGGACAGTGGAATGACTTAAGGAGAGGTCCAGAACTCATACAAGGTGCGAAAAGTTATGTGAGGCAAAACCAACCAAAACCCGTTCAGTACCTGTGGTAGATCTTCTGTCATGTTTCTTTATTGGAAGAAAAGGAAAGTTAAAATGTGAACTATGAGCTCACACCTGGCTGAACTCTCTGATGTCCATGGAGGAAGGGCTGTTGCAAGTGTGGAGAGCTGAGGTACAGAAGGGACATGGCTTGGCTGGGAAGCTCCCACAATGAAATAGACTTTACAAATGTTATTTAATAAACAACCTTCCCCTTTCCTCCTGCTCAATGAGCAGGCCTAACAAATTCAGCACAGATTTCTTATGGGCCTCTTCAGGGTTTAGATCCAGATGTCCACACAGCTTACTTACAGGAACTTAGCTCACAAAAGTAGTATTTTTAATGCTTTGAACCCAGGGATAGCACTACCAGCTTACAAAATTTAAGCACAGGCCATATAAGATCCTAACTTAGACCAACCATTCAATAGCACAGCTGCTGAGGCACAGTTAGAAAAAATAATACCAAACACCTTCCCTTCTCTCTCTTCTCCCTTTCTTCTCCTTTTTCCTTATCTTCCATACATATGTGCACACACATGCACATCAAGCTGCCACAGAGACTGTGAAAACAAACAATTGGCAGTACCATTCTGCAGGCAGATCACGAGGCAGAAAATTCTGATTCTATGTCAGGAACAGGATTTGGCTGGATGAGGAAGTGAGTCCATGATGGGGGCTAGGGAAAGGTCAACAAGTAAGTGGTAGAGAAAGGCCAGAGCAAAGCGGAATTAACTCATCTTTTTTATTTGCTTGTTTGTTTGCAGAGTTCTCCAGCACAAGGCCAGGGGAAAATATGAATGGATGTGTTCCTTTCAGCAAGGGCACATTTCTGCTAGTTCTACTTAGGTATTAGAGGACGAAGGCCACAGAGATTAGTCAGAGCATTTCAGAAGTATTGATGTTAGTGTGTCAGTGTGGTCTAGGCTAGAAGATTTTACTACCAATGAGTGGCTGAAACAAAAAGCCACTCTCTGCCTTCTAGGTTTCAGGGGTGTTGGATTTAGTTACCTCTGTGGTAGAGCATCAAAACCAGCTGCTGCCTTTGTGATAGGAGAGTTTTCAGTTCTTTGAGGCTGATTTAAATGGGCTCAAATTACTAGTTGCTGAATTTGCTTGGGGTGAGTAGGGCATTCTCCCTAGAAAACAGTAAATTGCTCAACACTGCTATGCTATACCCAAGTATCGATTCAGAGATAAAGAGTGCTCTGGGTCATTAAAATCTCAGAGGGGAGACACTCATTTTGCTTTAAATGACAGTTAGGGCAAAAAAAACACTGACTTTATCCAAAAGAGCAAAACCTGCCTTCTCTTTCCTCTACGGAAGCCCTTGGCAGCTTATACTTGAATGAACATGTCTTGTTTGTAGATCCAGCCTGAAATAAGTTGCATCTTTATCAGCTGGTTCTGACTTGCAGCTCAGTCAAATTTCCTTAGCCTCTACCCTGGATTCGGTAGAAACTTGTGGTTGAAGTTATTTGTGAAGAAGCAAGGACCTGAACAAGAATTAGGTGAGGAGGGCAAAATAAATATATTTCTTCCCTTTCATAATATTTTTTCCTTATGAGAGACGCTGCCAAAAGGCACAGAGTCTCCAAGTTCATTGCCTTAATCATGGTGCAGACTTCTTCTGCTTACCTGAAAAGATGATGAATATCTTTTAAAGTTTCTTATTCAGGTAAGTACTGAGATGTTTGCCTAAACTCAGTTCCACTGAACTACTGCATCAAAGAAATTCCATTGAAGTAAAATGCTTAATTTAGGTACATAATGAAATGTCTGAGATTGCTTTCCTTTTTGTTGTCAGTAGAAAGTGTGTATTTGCTTCCAATTCTCTTCTGTATACTTAGGAAACATTTGGTGTTCTCATGACAGGGACAAGCAATGCTAATTCTGCTAGAAAAACCCTGATTCTCTTACACGATTATGAGACTGAGATGGCATGATGCTCTCACAGCAGCAACTACAGAGACCTAGCCAAATGTAAAAATTCTAGCATCAGCTCCTCAGATGACAAGCCATATACCTGACCATGAGAGTCTTGTGTTCAAAGTAAGCCTGAGTATGTATGTGAGTCTGTATGTGTACTAGCACGTGAATATCTCCAGTAGAATCTGGCTTATCTTATGCAGTTACTCAATACCTACAGTGCTGTATTGAGAAGCCCTCTGTATCTGTGTCTGGGAAAGGCAACAAAGATAATGGTGAGAAAGAGATTTCCTCACACCCTACTAGCATCAAGGGTTGCCACACGCTATTACAATATTAATCAGCTCCAGCACTGGAGAAGCATCCTCCCTTTTACTGAAACCTACATTTTACAGCTGGAGAAGCTGAGCGAGGCAGAAAAGCAAGCAACCTCCCCAGGGAGTAATTTAGCACAATGCATAGCAGGCATACTCAAGATTTCTGGATCTCCAGGGCCACGGCTAACATTCAGGCCACCACACTCTCCCCCACACTGCAGGAAGGGGTAGGCACGACACAGCTGCAATATATACTGGAAACCAAATGCCTATCCTGCAAGCACTGCTGTGAATGGGACAGTTGAATATGGCATTGGGCAGGAGAAAGGTTAGTTAATCAGAGCAGCCTATGTGCTTGGTCATTGCCTTCAAAGGGGTTGGGGAGGTCCTTTACCAGAGCATCATGTACTCTCCTGTGGTTTCAGCTCTCTGTATGGTAACTGTCTGATCAAATCTGCTCTTTCAAGTTGTGTACAGCTAATTCCCAAAGTAACATGACTCTTGCTTAGATTCTGAGGCATTTAACTTCTTTCTACCAGCATATGAGGGCAGATGACTCACTACTTCCACAGTTCAGAGTGATGTCAGCTGTGTAATTTACACATGATTTACCTTCCAAATGATCTCATAGCTATGCTCATTATGGAATTAAAACAGAAAAGCTCTGCTTCCATGGGAGAACTGAGATATCCCTTCAAAGGGCAGACATGCTCAACAACAAATGGCTAGTATGAGCCAATCAACAAGAACATTAATAATAATGACTAATAATTATTATCAATAACAATAAAAAAGAGAATTAAAGAAAAGTAAAGAGGCCACTATTCACACTTAGTGAACACTTCTTCCTGCTTTGGATGGAAATGCACATGAGGTTGTTCCTTTTCTATGCTTAATGTACAGTTGCCTTATTCAACATACATAGTACTATGGCTTATAATAAAAGTTGTGTAGTCTGCAGCTTTTTAATCTTTACATCCATTAAGAGGCATCTACTGTGACTATGTACAAAAAAGGAATGGATAAGTCTTGGGAGGGAAGGGAAAG